ATAGATATTTATAATGGTTATATCTTCTTGTTGGATTGACCCCTTTATCATTATATAATGCCCTTCTTTGTCTCTTGTGACTTTCTGTGTTTCAAAGTCTATTTTGTCTGATACAATTAGTGCAATTCCTGCTTTTTTCTCCCTATTAGTTGTGTGAAATATCTTTTTCCATCCCTTCACTTTTAGTCAGTGTATGTCTTTAGGTTTGAAGTGAGTCTATTGTAAGCAGCATATAAATGGGTCTTGTTTTTTTATTCATTCAGTGACTCTATGTCTTTTGATTGGTGCATTCAGTCCATTTACATTTAGGGTGATTATTGATACATATGTACTTATTGCCATTGGAGGCTTTAGATTCCTGGTTACCAAAGGTTCAAGGTTAAGTTCCTTACTATCTAAGAGTCTAACTTAACTCACTTAATATGCTATTACAAACACAATCTAAAGGTTCTTTCTTTTTTTCTCCTTTTTCTTCCTCTTCCATTCTTTATATATTAGGTATCATATTCTTTACTCTTTGTCTATCCCTTGATTGACTTTGGGGATAGTTAATTTAATTTTGCATTTGCTTAGTAATTAGCTGTTCTACTTTCTTTACTGTGGTTTTATTACCTCTGGTGACAGCTATTAAACCTTAGGAACACTTCCATCTATAGCAGTCCCTCCAAAATAGACTGTACAGATGGTTTGTGCGAGGTAAATTCTCTCAGCTTTTGCTTATCTGGAAATTGTTTAATCCCTCCTTCAAATATAAAGGATAATCTTGCCAGATAGAGTATTTTTGGTTTGAGGCCATTCTGCTTCATTGTATTAAATACATCATGCCCTTCCTTCTGGCCTGTAAAGTTTCTGCTGAGAAGTCTGGTGATAGCCTGATGGGTTTCCCCTTTGTATGTGATCTTTTTTCTCTCCCTGGCTGCTTTTAATAGTCTGTCCTTATCCTTGATCTTTGCCATTTTAATTACTATATGTCTTGGTGTTGTCCTCCTTGGGTCCCTTGTGTTGGGAGATCTGTGCACCTCCATTGCCTGAGACACTATCTCCTTCCTCAGATTGGGGAAGTTTTCAGCAATTACCTTCTCAAAGACACTTTCTATCCCTTTTTCTCTCTGGTACTCCTATAATATGAATATTGTTGCATTTGGATTGGTCACAGTTCTTTCAGTATTCTTTTATTCCTAGAGTTCCTCTTTTCTCTCTGTACTTCAGCTTCTTTGTATTCCTCTTCTCTATTTCTGTTTCATTTATTGTCTCTTCCACTATATCTAATCTGCTTTTAAAACTCCCCATTGTGTTCCTCAACTATTGGATCTCCATCCTAAAATTGTTCCTGGGTTTTTGAATATTTTTGTACCTCCAGGAGCATGTTTATGATTTTTGAAATCTCTTTCAGGGAGATTGATTAGTTCAGTCTCTCTTGAGCCTTTTTCTGGTGTTGTTAAGATTTTGCTTTGAATCAGATTCCTTTGATGTTTCATATTCGTATGTGGTGCCTTCTAGTGCTCAGAAGCTCTGCTCTCTTGAGTTGCTCAGCACCTGGAACGATGATGAGGGTTGCAGGGGAGTGGTGCTTGTGCCTGGGGCGAGGAAAGAGCTGTTTCCTGCTTCCCGGCTGCTATGCCTGTCTCCACTGACAGAACCAGTGGGTTGAGCACACAGGTATAAGCCTGTATGCTTAGCGTTTGTACCTGCTGTAGGCAGAGCTTCCCTCTAGCTGGCCTGATGCCAGGGCAGGGTTTGCTGGTTTGTGATGGCCAGGAGGAAGGCGCAGCAGGCTGCTTATCACATTAGGGGGTCTTGGAGCTGCATAGCTATGTAGGGGGATGTAGCACCTGAAGATAGTGAAAGTTCCCAACCTGCTGGGCAGAGTGCACCTGGACAATTTTGTCTACCTGTCCTTTCTCCTGAGCAGTAAGCTCTGTGCAATCCTTGCCCTTTTATCTACTGTCTCGCTTTTAGGGCATCTCTCAGACTGCCCACCTAGATCAGCTGGATATGGATCTCTGCTTTCTGCAAGCAGCTGGAATCTCAGTCTCTCCAAGTATTATGCCTGTCTTAGCTTTCCAACCTCACTAATCACCAGAGCACCATGCAACATAGGTTTGTGCTTCCAGAGCAGATGTTCAGGTCTAGGTGTTCGGCAGTCCCAGGCCTCCACTCCCTCCCTGCTCCATTTCTCTTCCTTTCACTAGTAAGCTGGATTGGGGGAAGGGCTTGGGTTCTGCTGGATCACGGCTTTGGCACATTACCCTGTTCCATGAGGTCTGTTCTTTTCTCCAGGTGTATGCAGTCTGGTGCAGCCTTCTTTCCTGTTGCTCTTTCAGGATTAGTTGTCTTAATTATATTTTCATATTACATGTGGTTTTAGAAGGAGATCTCTGACTCACCTCTCACGCCACCATCTTTAATCCCTGATACCCATGTATATATATATATTTAATCTTTCTACAACTCCATTTCCATAGGGTTACTTCTGGTTCTCTCCCTTTCCCTTTTCTCTCTCTTATGATGACAGACCTGCTTCCTATTATTCTTAATATGATCAGTCCCCAAGCATACAACTGATCTACCATCAGTGAGGCTGTTCTCCTTCCCCCCATCCCCTACCTGTCCTTCTTACACACATGGACTCTCTACCCTGCACCAGGCTGTCTGGCCAGGTGGAAGCCTCCCTGTAGGTAAAATTATAATATTTCCAGAATATCTCACCTGGCTTTAGTGCATCTGCATATCAATGGGCGTTCCTCAGGGGGGGAGAAAGTATGGCTTCAGTGCATTTGCATATCAGTAGGCATTCCTAGGGGTGGTGGATAAAAGTTAATCTCCATATCAATGGATAATTACCTGGGCAACTGAGGGCTTATCTGAACTTGAGAAGTTAGGGGGAGTGCTGGTTTGCTTCTGCCAGAGCAGGAAGGAGAGACGGCCCTGGACTGCAGTCTGTAATCAATAAACAGGTTTTAAACTTTGTTTCTCCCTTTGACTGATTTCGGTATTAGAGGTATTTGGTCCTGGGATTTCCTTTCCCTGGAGTTACACTCCCTTACCTTACTAAGGCTCTGATCCCTGCAGCATCAGGTCACCCACCCACATCCCACCTCTGTTCTGATTATGGTCCCCTTCTATGGGCCACATCTCTCCCCTTCCTCCTAACCTGCTTGTGTTGGCACTAAGATTGAGATTGGAACAGTTTTGGAATGCTCTGAATGGCCTTAGTGGATTTTAACGGAAAGACCGGACTCTTGTTTCATTCAGAGAAATCATATAACCTCTGATTTATTTGACTTCAATCTGCAAAAAAAAGAGAGGCTGAGCTTTGGTTTTTACCTTTTACCTGGAGGTTCTTCACCCAAGTTCCAAATAACATTCACACTGTTTCCTTCTGGTTGCTGGTGCTTATGGGGGCTGAGAAAAAAGCATGTGGGGAAGATCCCATGGGAATGTGTGCTCCTGAAGATGCTGGATTCCCAGGCATAAAATGTAGGGCCCAGGCAACTTACGGGAAAGATGGAACTAAGGCACCAACTTCATTGTCTATCTCAAACTGGAAAGGGGCTCAGAAAAATTTACCTTGATTCCATGAGTAGAGAGCCTTGTCTTCCTCCCCTTCTCCCTAGCTTGACTACCCCACTGAAAACTGTTATCCTTTGTCTTTTTTTCTTTGGGGAGGGAGGACTGGGCTCCCTCATTGTTGGTGGGGGACTTGTGGAGGGAGCAGAGAGAGCTAGTGACTGTGGGGAGGTGGAGGAATGGATGTACTCTATATCTTCTGGCAAGGTTAGCTTCAGGATTTTCCTGCAGGAGCTCTTGCTCCACTAATAGGAATGCCAGAGGTTCCCAATTCATGGGCTCCAAGGTAGAGGAGAAGGCCAGTGTGGCAGCTGCAAAGCCGGATGCGGCAGACTGATGGTTTAAAAGTAGCTTTGCCACCTTGATATGTGATAGAAAGTCTCTTACTGCTCTCCTTTGTGCTAGAAATATATCTATGCATGTTACTTTTAGAAAGTAATTTTCTCAGTGCTGTTTTTCTCAGTTTTCTGATGTGTCTCATGTATCATTAATTTTTAAAAAATTATTTTTGATAGCTACCACAATGTTTGAAGCTGGAAAGGACAAAGGTAATCCAGATGAGTTTGCTGTGGCACTTGACGAAACTCTTGGAGACTTTGCATTCCCGGATGAATTTGTCTTTGATGTTTGGGGAGCCATCGGAGATGCCAAGCGAGGATGATTCCAGTGTAGACAATCCATCTCTAGAGAAATGAACCCATTTAAAAAACAAACAGACCCATAAAAACTGCTTTTAGACACTGTTTTGGACTGTGGTTTGTTTTTTTTGTGTGTGTGGAATACATTCTTTGAAGTATAATTTTGATTTTTGGTACTTTTTAATGCAGTTGCATATATAGTATGCTTAAGATAAATAACCTAAAATAAGATCAATTTTACTATTCATTCAAAAGTTTTTTTAAAAGTAAGTTTTAGAGAGCCTAGGTAGATGATTTTGCTCCCCATTAACACCCATGTTTCATTTTCCACATGGAAGTTGCTGGTTGCAATAACTTTGTGGTTCTTTTCCAAAATCTTAATGTAGTAAATATAACAATTGGTATATGATTTGCCTCAGAGCATCTTCATTTTGTTACACTGGCTTGAAGAGGATATGTTCAGGAAATGAAATATGAATTATGCCTGCTTAAATCTAGAAGCTTTTTTTTTTTAATCCATTGTGAAAAGGGAGGAAGAGTCCTATAGCCTGTTGATGTCTGTGGCCTACTTTCTCTCTTTGTAAAACAAGGATTGATTTTTATTTTTTGCTTCTTGGTAATTGCTTCTTTGCTTTTTAAAACTTACTGAAATCTGTTGTACTGCATATGTGTTTGCATGTGTGGAAGAGGGTTGAAAAAGGCAGGTAGGGTAGAAACCATTTATATATATATATATATATTTAAATAGTTTGTAAAACAGTATTTCTTTTTCTCCCTATACCTACTTCTATATTACCCTTTATGAGCACTCTAGGGAAGATTTTTATAGTCTTTGTAGAACTTATCTTTTGAAAGATACTTACTCAGAAAATAACTATGTTTGAGAACATTTTTTCAGTGAAAGAGCAACACTTTTAATCCCTCTAAACTTTAGAGGAGATATTATAAGAAATGGATTCCCCCCTGTGGATATGAACAAGGAAGGGAGAACTGAGAAAATATATTAGCCTATTATTTTAGAGTTTTAACATACACTCTCTAAAACCTTACATTGTTGAGAAAATGGAAGGTAAACGACTGTCTGATCACTCTTACTTGACATTTTACCGATAGAAATGGAAATGAGTGGTTTCAACATAGATCATTTAATAAGGCAGAGCATGGTGTGACCAGGCATTCTTCTCAAGTGTTAGATGGAAGTGCTACCATGGTAATCAGAAATAACCTGTGAGGATGTGTTCTAGGAAATCAGAAGTAGTTCTCTTTTCATGCTGAGTTAATGCTTAGATAACTGTTGTTTTCTGGTGCAACTTTACTTCTACTGCCAGTCCCCTTTCATGTAGGTTTAATACTCTGATATTCTTTGTCTCATTAATCTGAAACCCATGCAAAAGCTGTTTTACCATCAATGTGTAACAAAAGTGGTTCATAGAACGTGGATTGTCTTGTCATTTGAAAATAGGATCCAATTCAGGCTGAAGTTTGTTGCTAATTCAAGGATATCTTTCAGAGGTCCCTAATACCTATTCTTAATACTCCTTTTCTTAGAAGGATGCACACAAAAAGCTGATATTTTTAGAGATGGGAAAGTTATTGGATGACTTCAGAGGCCCGTAGAAACATTCTAGTTAAAAAATAAATTTCCTGGCACTACATATTAGATTTGAAATGCTGAGTCATTGTTTATTATGATGGATGTCGGTTTCCCTTCCTTTTTGGACATTCATGAAGGTCGACACTTTGTGCAGATTCCCTGTGATCTCATATCTACAAAGCAAGTGTGCTCACCATGATCTTTCTAGAATTTTGATGCGTAAAGTACTGATGTCCATGTACAGCTATAGCTATACTTGCCTGTTAGCATTAAACAGGAAGTTGTCATTATTAAGGGCTTCAGCTGGGCACAGGTGCTTTAATACTAGCAGGTTTTTCCTTGAAATGTTTTTATTACACACCTCTATTGCTAAACTGATAATAATGTCAGTTCCTTTACGCCATTTTGTTCCATTACCTGAAAACATATCTACTTGTGAACTTTGTCCCTTTTGGGACCTGTGCAGAAAAGGAGCAGGGCCCCTTTTGCGCTGTCACAGTTTACAAATGTGGGCTACCCTTCTGCCGCTGCAGACACTGGAGATGGCTGGTAATTATAGATCTGCTTTGGTTATGTAACTGTATTCCTATTATGTTAATGTGTTTGTGCAATTTAATTAGTAGTTTAAAACCTATACATGCTCAAATCTTATTTTTTTTTTAACACGCTGCTTCATTGAACTGCTGATCGTTTTCTGAAGGCCACTGTTGTTTTCTTTTGTTCTATAGGAATTTTTTCCTCTTAGTGGAGGGAAGTTTTCTTGATTTCACTCCTTGCAAAACAGCATCTTTCAGTGGCCATGAAGAGCACACTGTGTTTTCTTTGTGGCAGGGAATGCAGATGGATGATTGAATGTTGGGCTCAATGAGGCCTTGAACATAGCTGGGTCCTGATCAAATGTACGATGATTACAAATAGGTAAATTTTTGTTCTCTGTGATATTTCAAAAATATAATTATGTAATTATATGATGTGAAACTTCTTAAGAACCAATAATAAAAGCAGTAATCATTTAATCTCTGGGATAACAATATCCAGTATTAAAATGTGTCATGAACTAAATAGAGATAATGTAATTTTCCAAATGCTGTTGAATTTGCAATATATCCCCCTGAAACTTTAAAAAATAGACATCTCCCAAGTAAAGTGCCCTTTATTTAGGTCCATGTTATTGTTAGACCTTCATCAAGCCTAGAGAGAGCCTTCCTGGTATCCTTTAGTTATCTTTGCCTGTGTAGTATAGTAGCAAAATGAATTTCATCTGCAAATGGAGTTTTCACAATAATGGTTCTTCTAAATAGAGCATAGTTATCCATTAAAGATGTAAAAGATTGATTATGTAATGACTCTTTCCCTCTCTGATACATACAAAAATACATGGATACCAATAGCATTGCTATTATTCTAGTGGAAGTAATAGGCTAGGATAGTTAAGTGTTTTACCCAAGTTATGAGGGAATAAAGAGAGAGGAGATGCTATTCAGCTTACAGTCCCAAGTATTAGTGCTCTGTGTAAAATGCACATTTATTATCTTCTTGACACAGACTGAAAGAGATATCTGTAATTACAAGTCTCTACACATATCATGGTTATAAAAGGTTTCTAAGATTGTGAATTATACAAATGGCACAGCCTGTCCCTACCTATTACCTGAAAACCTAGTTCTAAGAAATGACTCACAGTTGTTATCTGCTAGGAGGGTGAAAGTTGAATATGACATCTTTATTTCAGTTAGAGACATTAAGTCCCTGTAAGACTTGATTTTAGCCATAGATATTTTTCAGATAGTGACAAAAAAGTTTCTGAAAGGTATTAAGTAAGCATTTTATATTTTGAACTGGTTGTGCCATGCAGTAGTGTTGACTATATATAGGTAAAATATTGTACTTTTTTGAAAAAATAAAAAAGGTTTTTTCCTTAAAATATAGCATGTACTTTAAAATGGTTTTTTTTGAGATTGAATTTTGGAAATCTACTAAAATGTGAAATTGTAAATTATATTTTGGTATTTAAAAATGTACTGTATTTTTGGGAGATGTACACATTTTCATGTATTGATCATAATGAATTATTTGTAAAAATATAATTTTATATTTTATTTACAATATGACTCCTTAAAATAAAAACTTTATGAAAAAAGTGGTGAATGTTTTACGAAAAAATTAAAGACTTGGGGTTTTAATATTAAACTT